TTACTGCAACTTCTGCAAATTCTAGCTTCCTCTAATAAAAAATTTAATTTAATTTTATTATTAAACAAAAGATTCATTAAAATTTAAAAATTATCTTTTTCAGTAATACAATTAGTTCATTTAATTATTTTCAAAATTTCTTAAGGATAATTTATTTCCTTATTTCTTTTTTTTCTGTTCAAAATTTTCATATAAAAATATACATTTAATCGTAAATGATTTCATAATTGATTTGTTGATAATTTTTAGAGCTCAACAGGATGCTTTCAATCATCATTCTATCACTACTTATCAGTATCATTTCCAGAGCAGATGATGGTAATCATATTTTTTGGAAACTGATAAATATATTTCAATACGAATTTTTTGAATAATTTTTTACATATCTTTTTTTTTGGATGAACGATGAAAGGAATGGAAGAGAATAATGATAATTAAAGTTGATAATATGCTGATATTATCAATGAAAATAATATATAAGGAAAGTATATGTTGTGTATCAATATAGCAAAAACAAACTTATCCAATAATCAATTCCTAAGAAATTACATCCTTACACCATTTTCTTAAATGATATATCGGATTCCAATAACTTATGGGATAGTTGTTTTAAAAAAATTAAAATGGACTTTGGTCTTTCTTTTTATTTTTAGGATGTTATAATAGAAATACATTTTGTGTTCAAAATTTCCAAAATTTTCTTGTTGCATGTGGTTTTTGATATCCGACAGTTCAGGCACTAAAATGAAAGAAAAATTTGAAAAGGCCCAAATGTTGTGATTTCTTTTCATTACCAATCACAGAGATATCAGATCATTAACGAATGATATCAGATCAGTTACAAATTTAAATAATATATAGGTATATAATTTGCAGATATTTTGCGTAGCAATAGTGCTAGTAGATCAGGCACATGCTACGATAAAGATCCTGACTGTTCCAATGATATCTGTGAAAATTATCCCTATACGGCCAAAGAACGATGTCCAAAATTTTGTGGTTTATGTCATCATCATTCGTCGACAGAATTCTCATCGTCACATCAGCAAAGTTCAACATTGGGAAGTGGGATTATTGAAAAAGGTGATGATAATTGATCTAGGGAGAAGAAACTGTTGCATGGTTGGAAATGGACAAAAATATAGATTTAAAAATTTTAGAAGAGCAGATGAAAAAAAAATTTTATTTTTAATGATAACAAATGTTGAACTGTCCTATTGATTATCATTTAAAAGTTGCTGAAGTATCTGTTAAAATTTAGTTGGAAGCTATGAAAGGCTTCCGGTCTAAAAATTTTCCTAAATAAAAATCAAAATTTCTGTCCGTTAACCAATTGATAGCATTCACTGATAAGCTGTCGTGCATATCATAAGACCACCGGCACATTTATCTGACAATGCCTTTATAGCAATGTTGCAAATTATCCTGCTAGAAGTGATGGGCATATTTTTGCATTTTTTTCAAGTTGAAATTTTCATTTCACTTTTTTTTCATTGCAGGAAGAAAACTGTTGAATTCTTGTGTCGATAAAGACTCTGATTGTACCGCGGAAATTTGTCGTAATTATCCATTTACGGCAAGAGATCGGTGTGCCAAGACATGTGGTCTATGTTCCGAAGATATCTCTAGTTCAACTACATCAAGTCATCACACAGCGATTGGAATAGGCAAATCTAAAGGAGGATTGCCCAGAACCGGTTATATTTTATTTTTGTGCTTGTAAAATATCTCAATGGAATTCCTGCAATTATAAATTCAAAATATAAATTTTGATTTTTTTAAAATTTTTCTAAGTCAAATTACAATGATCTGTATATGCTATGTGACAAAATATAATAGACTTTTATTTTACAAATTCTATTGGTTTCAAAATTACATTTACAGGAAATGCTCTCATTAACCGTGGTATGTGTTTCGACAGAAAATTCGATTGCAGAAAGGAAACATGCCGAGATTTTCCATTTACCGCTAGAGAGGAGTGCGCTAAAACATGTGGATTTTGTACTGCCGATGTGACGAGCATTCCATCCATGCCATCTTCTTCGCCTGGTATAGCTTTTGATACAATGTCACGAAGTCATCATGCATCTATTCGGATAAATGAGCGTGATGGTATTAGTGCAAGTAGCGGTATTTCACATCAACCATCTAAATATTTAAATATAACAATTATTAAACAACTCATAATATCCCATCATATTTCAAGCTTTAAAAAATGAAGTATATACTATGTTAAAAAATATAATGGAATTTTATTTTACAAATTCTACTAATGGTTTCAAAATTACATTTACAGGAAATGGTCCTATTAGTAGTGGTATGTGTTTCGACAGAAAATTCGATTGCAGAAAGGAAACATGCCGAGATTTCCCATTTATCGCTAGAGAGGAATGCGCTAAAACATGTGGATTTTGTACTGCCGATGTAACGAGCATTCCATCTTTGCCACCTTACTCGTCTGGTACAGCTTTTAGTACAATATCACCAAGTCGTTATGCATTTATTCGGATAAATGAGCGTGGTGGTATTAGTGCAAGTAGCGGTATTTCACACCAATCCTCTCAATATCTAAATATCCCGTCATATTCTAGGCTTTAAAAACATAAAGTATATATACGTGAAAAAATATAATAGAGTTTTATTTTACATATTATATTAATAGTTTCAAAATTACATTTATAGGAAATGGTCCTATTAGTAGTGGTTTGTGTTTCGACAGAAAATTCGATTGCAGAAAGGAAACATGCCGAGATTTCCCATTTACCGCTAGAGAAGAATGCGCTAAAACATGTGGATTTTGTACTGCCGATGTAACGAGCATTCCAACCCTGTCACCTTACTCGTCTGATGCAGATTTTGGCACAATGTCATCAAATCGTCATGCATCTATTCGGAGAAATGAGCGTGGTGGTATTAGTGCAAGTAGCGGTATTTCACATCAATCCTCTAAATATAATGGTTTTAAAACCTCTCACAATACCTCGTCACACTCTACGCTTTTAAAAGGTTCTATCTTACATTTACTTTCTATTTTATGAAGTTCAAATCTCTTGATATGTCTAAAATGAGATTGATCATTTATTCAGTATATTATATAGGTTATTTGACCTACTTCCATCTCTCCCGCATATATCCGATATGAGGCATTTTCTGCTTTTTATTTATTTATTCATTTATCATCCATTACTAAATTAATCCTTAATCTTTTGATCTCATATCTTAAGTGTATGCTCAACAGTTAATGAAGCAATACTGCTTTTCCGCCTCCACAGCAACTTTTGTTAACATATCCCATTATTATTTATGCTAAATTATTCTTTCCTTTGCTTTTCTCAAATAATCGTAAGATAAAGTTAAGACATATAAAAATGGGATTTATCCTTATTGACTATTACTGGATGGTCACTAAAAGGGAAAAGATGATGGATTTCTCATTATATACTTTAAATGAGAATCATATGGTAAATACTTGACTGAATAATCAAGTATGACCATTTATCTTAAGCTACTTGATCATAGAAAGATGTAAGAGATTTCGATTTAAATTGCCTTAAAAATCTTTTTTTGTAAAATGATTGAATATAATCAATTCTCCCAAATACTAAATGATTTCGATTTTATTTTTAAGACAAGGACTTAGAATGCGTTGATTTGAACATCGATTGCACTCAACAAACTTGCAAAGACTACCCTTTCACTGCTAGACAACGTTGCGCCAAAACTTGCGGATTCTGTCACAAACAACCGAATGCTGGCGGTGATACAACGAATGTTGGAAATCGACATTCATCTCTGGACAGAATTTCAGCGGGAAGCAGGACCCCTGAATTAGATCGAAGTGATAGCTCACTACGAAGTTTGTATCAGAATGGATATTTAATTAGACAAAATTATGGTTTCTCTTTGTAATCTCACATATATCCTGTGTAACAAACATCTCCGGTATCCCAAAAACTGCATTATTACCTGATAATAGATTACCTTTTTACTTACGTATACATACAACATACAACTGAAAAAAGAAATCAATTAGTCACAGTTGTGAGTTTTTATGTTTATCAATCTGTTTCAGAGTTAATTTTTTCAGAATTTCAGGAAATACATTATCGGCAACCGCTGGAGATTGCAGGGATGAGGATTCTCAATGTTCAGAACGATCATGCCTGGAGCAACCATATAAAGCGCAAACAAGATGCGCTAAAACTTGCGGTTTTTGTGGTGAAAAAAGCTCACAAGGTTCGATGATCGATCTCGAATCTCCTTCTGTGGATAGTTCAGATGACGGCATTGTAATTACTCTCGAAAGTGATGATACTGATAGTAGTCCGCCAACAGCGACATCTGGGCGTCCTTTGACCACTGGATATGGTGATGATGGTACATGGGCGCAAAACTCGCAGGACTCATCCATTAGCAGACGCATTGATTCATCCCGTAGATCTTCATCATCAGCACATATACAGCAATCAACAAAGAGACCATACTTGGGAGCTCAAAGAAGATATCCTGGCAGAACAGGTATATGCCTCATTTTGAAGATAATACGAGCTAGTTGAGAGTTTTTTACAAAAAAACAAATTCTCGAGAAATCTATGCCGAGAGGTATCACTTCCTCGTCTAGAGATTAGATGCTTAGAAAAATATTAGAAACTAGCTAAGATTATTTCCACAACTTCTACTGGTTTCAACAACTTTTCCATATTTTATATTTCTATAATGCAATCTAATTTCCTTTAGGCCCATGTTCTGATGAAAATACATACTGCGAGAAGGAAGACTGCTATAAATATCCAAAATTTTCTCAAAGATATTGTGAAAAAACTTGCAATTATTGTTAAACAGTCAGCGAATAGTTAGGTTTCATTTCCGGAATTATATGTCAAAGAGAATAAAGTTTTGGAAAATGTTTTACTACATCAGAACTTATTTATAAAGTGAAAGTGTTGACTAATTATGTACATAAAATTGTGAACATTAAAGAGAACATTATTAACACTTAATATCTTAAAGCAATGAATATGAATATTTACAGTTGCATCCATAACAATGACAGTCATTCTACGAACGATTTAATGTACCTCTTTCCGTAACAAAAGAAACGAGGACAAGAAGTTCCATTAGGAGCAAATAAAATTAAAAATAATGAGAAGTAGAAGAACAGACTAAGAAGCTTTTCAATTTACCCAAGTGTAAATAATTTTAGCATTAATTCTGAATATAATAATGACAAAATTGTAAGTATGGATAATGACAAGATTCCGCTCACCACATTCCATTATTAAATTTGAATAACTATAAAATCATTCGTATTGGAAGGAGAGAAATCTCAGCAATATCCATCGCAGCTACATTCATGCAAATGTATATCCTAATAGAAATCCAGCACTGTAACTACCCAACAAATATGCGTTGTTTTGCAAAAAACCACATACCTGTAAAAAGCGTGAAAAATAAAATAGATAGATTGAATACAGTAAACTAAAAATTCATAAAAAGAAATGACCACTGTCAGAGAAAACAAGATCAGAAAGTCGAACGTCTCGATTATCTCATCAACCTAGCAATAAATCCGTATATTAATGAAAAAATATACCTCGCCCTCCGATGCAATATTTTTATTGCTCGTTATTTGTGTGATACCTTTTCGCAGTTGTTCAATATCACGTTGCAACTTTGACTGATTGAATTTGATATAGCCTCGAGAGTTACAAAACTGAAATCCATTATTAGTAATTAGTAGGTAATTACTGCTGCTTCTAGTTAAAACTTGTAATACCACAAATTAATCGGCTATGTTGACTAACTCTTTCAGCTAAACCATAAAAAAGCCTTATGAAAGATAAGAAAAAACAATAAGTAAGCCATGATGTGAGTTCTGCATAAGAAAAATCACTCTGAAATTACCTGTAACGTACGTACTTTTCTATTCTGAAATCATCTCTAACAATATCCAAAAGTTTGCTGGTAAAGAAGTACTAAAATATTTAGTTTTCTAATAAGGAATGCTAATCCTTGTCCTGGATTCTTCAGCAGAAATCGCCAAAGTAAGCCAAATAACAGCTGCCAGCTTAAATCAGGAAAGACAGAAATCTAAGAAACCAATAGTTTTCGATAGAGGAAAATTTCTGATGATATACATATGAAAATTCATAGCAAAGGAAGAAATAATTAAACATAAAAAAGCAATGAAACAAACATAATGTAACTTTTCCAGAACTGTTATTCAACGCAATGTGCAATCGTAGAAATTACTATAGTGCTTTATTGAAAAGTGATGCGATGGTATTTATAGAAAATGGTTTGAATACATGATATAAATACAGCTATTAGACGGCCAATAAGTCATTACTATAGAGCAGAACTGAAAATATGTAAGAGATACATGGCTATAAAACACATAAAACCAAACACGAAGTATAACGAAAGAAAAAACATACATGGAAAATAAAATTAAGAAAATCATAGAAAATGATTTTATTCGCGTTATGTTTCATTTTCACTTTATCTTTTATTAGGGAAAGATAATCAAAAAAACTAAGGAGAATAAATAACAGAAAGCTAAAAATTTGAATTTACTGTGAAAATTCCTGCTTAATCAAACTTCTGAGAGTTACTGATATGTTTACATCAACTGATTACTTTTGCTTAACGCTTGTATCTTTGAGGCCTCTCCGATACATAACATAAAAGAAAAGGGTTGGGTAGAACCAACGTAGAAAGATAGCGAAACGATGACTTAATGGTGCAAGAATTAATTCTGTGTTTCGGTTTACGAGAGCATTTATGATGCATTCAGCAGCATAACTCGGCTTGAGTCCCTTTGCTTGATTAGGATCATCCTTATCTATCGGTTTACCTTCTATAGTAAGCGCATGACGCCCAAAACCTGTATTCATATAAGATGCATTTACAACGAGAATCTGAGTCTTAAATCGTTCTTCAGTCCGTAAACAATCGAAAAAAGCCTGCAATCAGTTAACACTTCAGTATGTTTTTAGCAAAAGATAGGGATGAATATGAATGCTCGATACTTCTAAATCAGAACGTATAATATTTTCAATATGTTTTCCATTCCTATGAAACAACGAAAAAAGTGACATGGCTAAATCATAAAACATTAGTGTGAAACTCATTCTATGAATAACAAAAGAAAATAACAGGAAAAAAATGGAGCGTAAACAAAAGCACACCTGAGCAGCATGTTTACTTGCTGAGTAAGAACTTCGATATGGTGTAGTAATGCGTCCTTGTACGCTGCTTATATACACAATCGCTCCATCTTCAGGTATGTAGTCAAGCAATGCTTTGGTTATAGCAACATGACCAAAGTAATTCACTTCCATTACCTTAAATGTCTATTTTATTGAGAATTAGCTAAGATTTGGAAATTGGAACAGAGAAACAAAAAACTTGTACATCACTGCAATCAACAATTTACAAATAAGAACTAGCCTACAGCTGGTAATTGATAAAATTGGCAATCAGAATGAAGAATATAGTATTTTATAATATAAATCATTAAATTGCCACTGAACTTGAATAGGAATTACAGAAAGCCAAAACAATAACACAATTTCCAGGACAATAATATGATTTCAGAAGCTAATGAACCTGCACACACACGGTAAACATTAACCATCTCTATAGCCTCCACATCCCACAGAGAAGAGGAATGTCAACAATCCGAGTAATTTTTATGATTTTGAATTTGAATATAAAAAAAACATAAAATATAAAATACACTAGAGACCAACCTGTCGATGTACATCCATCGGTGTATCTTTGCAACTCCCACGCATACTTAAACCAGCATTGTTAACAAGAACATCAATTCGTTGATTGATGGCAAGCGAGACAAGTTCCACAACGCCATTTGGATCGCTAACATCCAGATATTTATAAATTGGTTCATTCCTATTGATGACATCCGGTAATGACTTCAGTTCTTCACACAATTCCTTCAGCTTATTAATGCTGCGTGCTGTTAAAATAACCTGAGCACCTTTTCGATAAAAACAAATTGCTAATTCTCGCCCAAGACCCGAACTAGCTCCGGTGATTAGTACAGAACGATCGCGTAAATCAAGTTTCGAGTGATGTTGCGGTCCAGGTATCAGAGAACGGAGGAAACGACTAGCAGCATAAAGACCGACAGGAAGTACAATGTAATGAATATATGGCTTTATTGTGGCAAGCACGTTTGCCGCACGCTCACAACTTTGATCCATCTGACTAGCGATAATGGTAGTGACAATGATGTATGTTTCTAGAAACACATCACGACAATTAAAGAATCTATTTTAAGTTATACTAAGGTCACGCTACGGACAGAATACCACGTTACAATGATATTACATCATCACAATCCAATACAATGAAAATAAATTTCAGATATGTTGAAGAAATTGAAACAAACAAGGTATGAAACAAAAATGAGAGGCAGTGATCACGAAATTAAAACATTGTACTACAGCAGCTGCTATATGGCCTCAGGATTGTAGCTATTCTATCGTACCTATGTTCCAACCCGGATGAAACCTCAATACTTGTTTGGAAAAGAAAACCACTTGATAACATCTCTAATGGGCAACAGGCAAAAAATATCGACCAGAAAAATATGAAAAAACCTGGAGTAAAATCAAAGAGCACCCAATAACACCTGCTACTATTCTGCTTCCCTTTGTGAAGATATATCCTGTCACCCTGAAATATTAATAAATAAATAAAAATGATTAAATCCTATCTGAAAGAAAAATTTTTACATTTACTATTGGAAGACATGAGTAATGAGAAATATAAATTAACGAAACAAAAGTTCTACTTTTTTTATTCAAATAAATCTATTAACAGCAAATTTCCGGCAGTCTGTGAAGCACACTCCCAAAAAACTAATACGCCAAATATAAAGGACCTATTGCACATTACAAAGAGTTAATTTATTTCATCAATCAGCACTTATGTCGATAATCAGTGATACAACGGTCAATTCAATCAACGTAATTATCATGTCAATTTTTAGTATATCAATTTTGATCTCATTACTGTTTCTCTTAAATATTCTACAGGTCTAATTTGATACGCAGAAAAAAGAAGACTTGCCAGCCGGCAACAGACCCAATACAGATCTGAATAGGGACGGGTTTATTCTGGATATGATTAATGAAGGTGATTGCTCGATCGAACGTATTTGATAAATGACCAGAAGAATGAGAACGTGCCGGATAGATTGTATGAACCGAAAATTTGTCTTTACAACTCACTGCATTTTCTGCTTTTTCCAACAATTCATCAATAAGCGTCATATTGCAAACGTCAGGAATCCCTGGAAACAAAGGATCCAATTATTTCAAACTATAATATAACACTTGAAACAATATCAAATCATGATAAGTGTTCCGCTTGCTTCCGGAAATTACTATCCCACAGCAATTGCTTTTCGCTAACAGATCCCAGATCTCCAATCTCCAATTTCCAATCTCCAAGCGGATCTCCGATCTTCAATCCAATCTCTAAATACCAAAAACGGTAACAGATCTCCAACAAAGATTTCAGCTGGCAAATTTTATACGGTTCACTTGTCATTCACTCACCTGTTATGAAATCCTCTTCATTTCCTCCGATCTTTGTCTCACCGTCACTCCAACACGTTATTTCGTTCTTTTTTCATTCCCTCCGTCAATGAAAACCATTGCTATTTTGTCTTCTTCCTCAATATTTGGCAATATTATGATAGTGTAGTGCTTATCGTCAGCTCCCTCAAAACTAATCGCTCTATTTCGTAAATTCCATCTTTGTTTTCCTTCCTGATTTCTATATATGTGTGTATTTTACTGCATTAAATTTAATTAAAGAGATTTTTCAATTCTCTTCAATTTTTCTTCCTCATTCAAGAAATTGTTTTTCTTTTTTGTTGCTATAAAGATTGTAAATCGGGTGAGAAGAAAACATCGAGTTTAATTGACACTTCTCAAAGATTCCGAGTGGTCATTATTACTTTAAATTTCACTGGCCACTCTCACTTCAAATTTCACTGTTCACTTTTATCTTAATGAAAATTTCCTCTGCAGATATATGTGCATCATTTATTTTAATATAAATTGTCTGCTACTTTTTAGTTCCCTAAAGATGCAGGCAATGAGACTGCCACGTCCGAGTGTGAATGATACCGAGGAAGATTTGCTGCAGATGCAACAAGAGGTATTCTATTTCATTCGTACAGTTTTACAAATTCGGAAACAATCGCTGTTATTTGCATAAATTTCGTCATAATAATGATTTAGCAGTGAATAGAAAGCTAATGTAATGGAATCTGTGTAATTTATTCAGCAGTATGAATTACCATTTTTTTTTCTTCATTTATTGGCTTGCGTTCAATTGTTGGGTAGCTGCGATTAATCCGGTTATTTCCTAGTCATTTTTTTTTTGGATTAATGGATTAAGCAAGAGGCTCAAGACGATAACAATCAGAACAGTCTTATTGCTCGGACAGTCGATGGTTTATACTGACTGTCAATTCCAAATCGTAGTCGCAGCAATATAAATTAAAAATATTGGGAGCAAATGAATCAATTTATACTTTCTAAATTTAATCACTCCTTATCACTTCTGTTAATTCTGTCAATGGAAAGCTGTTATATTGCAGATGTTCAAGAGAAGATGTGAAGAACAAGATCCTGTTAACAACAGTTCCTTTGCCAAGGAAATTCGACAAACTGACAAACTTGTCGGTCGTTTTTCTCTCGATCTTGACTCTGTAGCTGAAGAAGAAGCAAGTGTCATGCAACTTACTGTGCAGGTAATGATTACTTTGAGTTCTGTAAGACAAATGTGGAAATTTTTAATATTTCTACCTTTTCCGTATTTTGCTAACACTTAGCTTTACTGTGAAAGTAATCATATATCAGAAACCTTGAAACCACGAGGTACCATACAGGTCATCGAACTCTGCCTTTTCGAGACAACCTTAGAATTCTGATTCAGTTCTCATCTTTAATTTGCCGGATTAACATTAAATTTTGTTCCAGGAGCGGAATATAGAGTTTTTGCATGATACTCAATTAAATGATTATACGAATTTATCAAAATGTGAAAATTATGCAGAAGAAGAAGGATTTCCTGATGTCCTGGATTTGTCTAAGTGAGTATTCTAAATATAGCTTATTTCGGGATTCAAGGCACTACTAATGGTAGTGGGTTTCTTGTTATGAATATATCTCATGAATACAAATAAGCGTGTCAAAGTTCAGTTTGCATATTTGTTATCTTTCAGATATTATAATAGCCTCGATGAGTCTGTGAAAAATATCCCAGCAAACGGGAAAAGTTTTTTTGCAATAGAGTTTGACAGGATCCACGGTCGAATTAATGGTAAGGATTTTTGCATGTTTTTTATAACAAGTTTTTGAGGACATAACAGTCTTTGTGCTACTTTTTATTAACTTTTTCAAACATTTCCACGGTTTGAGCAAGCAGTAAATAACTCGACTTTTACTCAGTTATATTTTGATTCTTGTTGTAGATTACGAAAGAAATGGAGCTTCAACTTCAACTGTTGCAAAATCAGTGAACGATATCAATGAAGAAATTGAGCTGGAGAACTTGCAAAGGATAGAAAAAATGAGCAAACAAGAGATTGAGAAGGCAAAGCAAGAAATTGTGGAACGTTTTGGTGAATTTTTGCAAGTTTTCGTGGACAGTGTATTCGGGAAAATAGAAAAGAAGGAGTGAAAAAATTTGTTGGCAAATGAGAAAATTGAACCAATACTAAGAAATGATAATAAAATTCGTACTTTTTCGGTTTTTAGATCCAAAGTTGCTTGATTTCTTACGGAACAAGGGAAAGAAGGAACAGCAAAGGAGAACGAAACAAATTGAACGGAGTATAATTTTATATCTAATTTGTAATGATTGGGTGATATTCATAAGTGATATCTTTATGTTAAAGTGCTCTTCACTTAAAACTTCCTCTTCGGATCGGAGCGCGGTTCTAGAATGCAAAGAAATTGAAGCTCTGGAATCAGACAAAGTAAGCTAGCTCACGCTAAGGATTATATAGAACAAAAAAGTAAAAAAAAAGAAAAAAAGGTAAGTATAGAAAGCAGTTTTTATGATCCGGTTACACAAAATGAGAATTGGACTAACCATTTTTAGAAGAAATGGATTTTTTTTACACTTTTTTGACATCTCCAAGTATTTCAATGCAGTCGTCATGTTATTGTTGAGCAAAATGTAGTTTTATAAAAGATTCGTATGATAGCTAAAGAAAATGCGCTTCATTTAATTTAAAACATGAAATGTTATGAATATTAGCAACTTGGTATATTTCGCTTACATCAGTTTTCTGTACTGGAGTTGAGGGTTTAGTTCTGATCGTCTCCCCATTCGAGCCTATTTCCATGGATTATTGTTAGAAATATTTGAAATGCATGCCACTGTTATAGTTCCAGGACCTCAGCAGATAGAAAAATCAACTGACACAACAAATGATGTAACATCAGGTACCTGTGCTAATACGAATCCAGAAGTCACCGACAGGATCAAACATCTAGAAATATTTGGCTTAGAAAAAAACGATCCAACATTTCATAAGGATTTAGCAAGTGAACTGGATGTATATGTACGATTAGCAGCGGTAATTTTATCTCATTTGCTATTTCGCTCTTTGTTAAAAGTTATGAGGCTGTTTTGCAGTGAGATTTGTTTATGTGATACCGAAATAATCGATAATCAGATTATAACAATTTTACTAGGAAAGGAAAAGTTCTTAATTTTGGATACTAATTCTTTTTTCCCAATAGTGGAACTGTACTATTCTGAAACTTATGGAAAACTTTCATTTGGGTTCTCTGGAATTGGTCTCATAGATTGCTTCCACTTCTAGTAGGACTCTTTTTGAGAACTCAAACTTCTTGCACTAAAACAACAAAGTAATTGCAAATTTACAAGCCATGAAATTTGATAGTAGTATGAACTTAAAAAAATTATGGCATCTTTTTTGCAGGATGCAGCACAAATGGATATGGCAACGAAATGCATGCGCACAATATTGCCACGGCAGCAGCAAAATATAATCAGGCTGTTCGATAATTTACGAATTCCACCGAAGTATTTAGAATTTTTGAATAATCTGGGCGTCTTCTTGAATAAAGTAATTTTAATAGGAATAAATGATAATATCTAGAAATGGAAGAAAAATATTTACCAATTAATCTTTCCAAATAAAATTTCTGTTCGGATATGGAATTTGTTTTGTTGTGATTTTGAAGGTTTCCAAGTCGAATTTAAGTTTTATTCCTAGTTTATCATGAGATTTTCATGTACCTACTGAGATCTCTTACCTAAACAAATACTTCAGGGATTATGCTGGTGATGATCATTTGTTGGAGATGGCTCGGACTAACTTAAATGCAATTAAAGGTCTATACTTAGAACAACGGTAATTTCATCCTATAAAATACATTTTATAAATATCAGTATTTTTCCAGAGTTTTTAGTTCTTTTCAAATGAAATATATTTCATTGTTTAAGGAATGATAAAGATGGTAATTTATCGGTTCACTTCGCCGAAGATATAGATCCGTTTAGCAAAGGAGCCTGGATGTTGTCTCCCATTCGTAAAGTTTTAGATGTCATACAGAAAGACGGGTAACTGATTTTTTATAATCTGTCTATTAATATGATTTTTTGTTGATTTTGGACAAAAACATGAAGTACTTTCAGTACTTTATGTATGTGTATGTCGAAATTAACTTTTTGAGGGGGTATTGATATCTATTAGAAATTGCTAGTGTATAATATAAATGGTACTCACTTTTAATCGTATTTGTTCGTAGTTGTTTATTTCATCACATAAATCAATTTTTCCTGTTATAATTTTTTGCTTTTTCATTATTTCGTTACTGTAAGTAACAAAAAGATAGATTTCGTCTAATATCTTATTGGAGTTGTTTTTTTGGCCACTTATCATAGCGAAGTTTGGTTAAGAACAGTGAAGGCTTTTTCAGAAAATCAACTGCTCATGATCTTGTGATAGTGCGACTGTCACTCTTCTGGACTTTGTTAATTATGGTGGAAAGACCTACTTTCTACTATGCTTTTGCTACCCCTGGTGAAATTTTTGTTCGCTTAGCAGAAATTTTCATAATGGGTAAGCATTGTATTTATTATAAAACTTATAAGCAATTGTTTTGCATTTATACTTGAGTTTTTGCTATTCTCTCTCTGCTTAGTATTTTTAGATTTAGCTTGGACGAAATTCACTTAGTTTAATAGTGCTATTTGTGCTAGAAAATCATTAAATCATCATAAGGCATTCAAGATCAAGAGCTAAGATAATTCTTTTTAACTAAAGAATTATCTTACTTCATCTTGATTTCCTTTTCCTCAGTTGGAAGCAGTGCTTAAATTATGTTATTTATAGATATATATATGTCTCTCTTTCTCTCTCTCTCTCTCTCTCTATATATATATATATATATATCATATTGGTATTATTAATCTCCTAGTTGTCCTCGTTTCTGTTTCTTCTATCTTGTTTTAGTTCTATTTGTCGTTTCAAAAACACTTCCTGAAATTTGAGGAATTGTCAAATCTTTGTGCAACCTAATAATCCCCAGGAAATCTGTTCATCGTATAAAGATTATTTTTCTAGTGAAAGTAAATAATGGTGTCAATTAATTTTAATTCGAAATTAGTTGTTCTTACCTTTGCTTCATTTCTTAGGTCCTGAAATTTTCAAGGATGAATGTGTTTCGCAATGTCTAAGTCGGTTTTTGCATGATTACTTAGAACCAAAAGCTCGTGATGGACTTCTGTGCTTGGCATTGAAAGAGCCTGTTGCTGGATTGGATGCATTTGGACCGTTGTAAGTTGTTTTTGATTTTTATGAAGAAGATTTTAAATCGAAAATTTGAGTTTCGCACGCTATTCTTCTGATGCATTGGCGTTCATACGTTCCGGAAACATTTTTTTGCAGTTACGAAGATCTTCTTCACCATTTCGAAGAGTTTTCGATAGGTGATGAAAATTTTACATTATTCATCCTACTCGGCGCTTATACTAATCAACGACTGTTGGATGGTTTATTGATGAAGTGTGCTATTTGGACAACTGATAGAAACATTGTTCGCCAAATGGTCTTAAAAAAAAATTCTGGGGTTAGTTTTGTATAATTTTAATGAAGATCTTCAGATTCTCTTGTTCATTTTTTTGAATTCATATGATCATCTATCGTTTCACTCTTAGTTTGAATTGATGGTTTGAATTTTCGAAATCCATGTAATATGAGATGAGTTGACTTTGAACAATTAGTCATTTCAACTGCAAACATGCGTTCGTTTCCTTTTAGGATAAAGATTTATCAAGAAGTTTATAGAAGGGTACATATTGGACTTGTTTTATATTACTGAGACTGTCAGCTTTATTTTATTGTTATCGGAGTTATATATGACCATCTAATTTAGCCGTCTTTCGATAGCGTTGCATTAATTACATTCGCTGATTCTTTCATGTTTTCCTCAGATACTATGTTTATATAACACGTTCTCAGAGGATCAGCATATCCTCTTGCAGGATTTTTTATTAAATATGATAGCTCATCGAATGAACGATGGTGGAACTACTGAGAGCACATATTTGACGCAGTTTGAAAAGTTGCTTCTTATCTATGCCGCAGCAATTCGAAATGGTATTGTTGTAAAAAATCGTAACGAGCTTGTATATGAAATCGCATCATCTGAGTTGAAATATTACATTCAATGGCATATGACAAGAAATGCTCACGAGAAAATTGCAAGTTTTTTTAATCTACATTTATCTTTTCTTATATTGATTTCATGTTAAGATGTCACTGATAGAACTTGAAGATGACATTATTAGCCTTTTGTTAATGATTAATTTACCAGCATTACCGCTGATTTATACTAGTAAAGAAGTGCATGTTCAGGAAGTAATTTGTCTCAATTTTTTTTCGAATGCAAAATAAATATCTTGCTTTTCAGGATATGAAAATAATGAAGCAATATGATACTTTGGCACTTACACTTCGTCAGTCTTTAGCCGGTTACTTAGAATTTAGTTGAATTCTATCTCAATATTTCTGCTCATTTTATTAACTTTGCTGTTCTCAACATTTATAAAAAATTGAAAATAAGATATTGGAATCGTACAGAGCTTAAGAGTAAGAGATCGTACAGAGTTTGAGATGAGTAGTGGTTGCAACGTTGAGGTACTTCAAAAAATTTGAATTTTAATTCTGTGAATAATTTATGCTTGTCGAAATGGAATGTGCAATTAATTAAAATGTTGTTAAATGTGAATTGATGTTCGCCTAAATGTTTTTAATTGCAAGCAGCGAAATTATGCATAATCCAAGTGTGCTGCAAATTTTGCTATGATATGATTATTTTGTTTACACACATCTCGATTTTGAAAGGGAATAAATGTCTCATCCTTAATTTCACTTTGTATTTCTGAAGCTTCGAATTTATCTCATCCCTTTTAAGTAAATGATGGATAGATGAGGATGTTCTGTGTGCAAATAACCCTAATCGCTTTTGCTTCTTTTCAAATCACATTCCTCGTCCTTCGTTAAATCCGATGCTGGCTGTATAATCGTTTCTACTACTTTTTCTCTCCCTAGCAAAGAAACGCCGATGTAGTAACAAGTGTACTCAGTTATTGAAAAATATGCAGATTTTGGTGATTGTTGCTTATTTAAAATAAATAGATAATGGAGGAATTATGGCATTGGTACGATTTGCACTTGTGTTGGGGAACGGTTGAAGGATGGTGAAAAGTGCTATGGTCTCACCTTCACATGCTGTTTCCAGCGGAAGCGTCTCAACTGATTCTACATCCAGAAGTTCGACAACTATAAAGTAAACATTTTCCTTCCAGTTCAAATGATCCACAATGGAAAATGCCTTCGACTATTCGATGGATTCGTGTGATTCTTAGAAGTAACTGCTAACAAAAAAGTAATAAATCAACTGATTAGTTGAAAGAAATTATGTTCGATACCAGACAGATATTTTAGGTTACGATTGTTTGTTAGTTTACTTGTGCTGATAACGATGGGTTTCATATGCCATTTATGTCAAATATTGTGCTTGGGAAGTGGTACTTCTGAAATTGCTGGTTTCTTAATTTTATTCACTGCTTTTTTTGGATATGTTTGGATGGGTATACATTCTTGTGCTTTAACCAGGTACCATAACATTTCATATAGGAAGAGAATTGAATCTTTCGTTAAATTGACAACATGAAAAATTAAATCCGGAAATCTGAATCTGAAAATTTCTTTGCTTCAAACATTCAGCTATCTTGTGACATGCAGGTTGATTACACACGTATGTCAGATTTGCAGTTGCAACAATAGTGTAATAATATACTATATCTATGATAAAAGTAGCGAATTATAATCACTCATGTAAAATTTGGTTCTGTTGAGAACAATTATTTCTTTCTTTAAAGATTCAATGGAAAAGCATTAAGCGGTCAAATTTCAGAGCTCGAAAAGCTTTTTTTGACGAATCAAATGTACTAGAAACATATCAGCCACGGGCGAGAACAATGGGACATTTATTTTGTGTACGTTTGAATTATTTCGCAAAATAAATGATATACACATTGTGCTTATCAACATTAAAAAAAATATAGAATCTGAGTAAACTTTCAGCCGAGAAAATTCATTGACAGATATACTTTCATTTGGCAATTCATTATTATCAATGGCAATATGATAACTGTATTTCAATTCTTGTTTAAGCATTAAATGAGGGTTTCCTATATTTCATTATATCAAATTATGTTAATTATAGCCAGAGCCACCAACACCAGCGCCAACTGTAAAATTCTCCGAAATTGACGATGAAAATAAAGAGAAGCACTCCGTAGAAGAAAATGCTGCATTCAGTGCTATGCGAGATGCAGTTTGTTCATTTTGCAAAAGTTTCATAATATTGGACAAAGATTTGAAACATTATAGAATATATCAGACTTTTTTTCCCTTTTTTTCATATATCCTGGAAATTTCTGTACATCGCAGATCCTTCACTTTCTCACATTTCTGGAGGACATCTGAAAGTAGTGCAAACAGACACAAATTTTCATTTATTTTACAGCATTATGCAAATATGTTTGAGTATGCTATGAAAATGCAAAAAGAAATGCATGCGATGGAAAAAACCGGTAATCAGCCTGAATCGACGAGCTCATCATCAATTCAAACAACACAAGCCGATCAGTCAACTGGACAACAACAGTCGTCAGTAAGCGATTCATCATCACAAAAGCATTCAAGCGATTCATCATCATGAAAGCATTCGATAAATCATCACCAGAAAAAAAATAAAGAAATGTTTATTTGAACTGATTATTAAAGTCACTGTTTGATTTGAAATTAAATCAGTTGAAATTTTCAATCGACAAATTTAGTAGTTGTTTTTTGCGTGATAGTTTCTTTGACAAAAATAGTGAAAAATAAAAAAGAATTTCATGTTAATTTTGATTTGGAAAGAGTAAAGCTAATGATCATTAGAAATTTTTGTTTTGCTTTTTATGAAATGATAAAGGTAATCAATCATCGGGAAATATAACAAGATCTGTTCAGGTATCCTTTCAATCCATTAATTGAATGATTTTAGGGAACATTATAGCCAATGTTTCACTAAACTTTTTGATTGATCCTTCAAGGAAAACGATACCTTGTATTGTTTTAATCCTATTCTAGAAAACTGGCCTTCACAAAAAAGTCGAAGATACTAGAATTTTCGACAAGGATTCCTTCGTGTTATCATATCCGCCACTTCTAGTCCTTGAGATTTTACTCGATTTAATATAAGCTTAATATTAAAACTCAGATTTGTTTGAATTTCCAGAAACCATTCGTTCATACAATCAAATAGTACAAAAACATTCTTGTCGTATAAAATTATTAGGCTGTTTCAAAGTTACTAGAGCATTTTAACTGTAACAATATAAATGGAAATCCACATAAAAAACATGAATAGAAATATTATCACAGTGATGATTACATAACTAAACGCTGTCAAAATTATCATTATTCACTCCAGTTATTGGAAGTCAGTATTTCTATCGGATGATTTTGTTTCTCCATCTAATCGATGACCTCTGCTCTACCGAGGATGGCATTACTTTAAACCATCTTTAGTAGTCCGTAATATTATCTCTACACGTTCAGGAAAACAGACACATTCCAATTAATTCTACCCAGAATTCAAAATAATTTCGATTTATTAGTTTTGGGATATTCATGCCTTTCCATACAGAATTACACCGGAATTAATTTATTAATCTTATAGATTCTCTTGAAATGATTTCAGACTTTCATCTGAAACATTTGAAAATTTTATTTGAACCATCCGAAATGTCATTTTTATCACTGCTTTCTTACCCATCTCTTAAATAATTCCTTAAATTAGTGGAAAATAGAGAAAGTATAAGTCACACAAACATAATATAATAGTTTCTTTACCGATCTTTTTTTCTTAGATATCAATGCTAAGTAATCATAGAATCTCCAACAACGATTGTAATTAATTAATTTTCATCCTAAATTTTATTTTCTTACATGAAAACACTAAAGATACGCTAATTTCTATTACAAACATTTCCGGAAGATTAAAGTTTTTCCAAAGATAAATTTCTTCCAAACTTAGAGCAAATAAGGAATTAAAAAAATGGGAAGATTGCATTTAATATTATGGTTGAAGTAAAAGGTGTAGATTGTGATGAAAAAGTACAGTGACATCATTACGGTGGTATGTTAATTATAATTACTTCTAATGCTTGATTATTATGAAAAACATATCATTTTTCATCGAATAATTCTTTCAAAAGATTTTAAAAAGTATTAGAATTATTATTTGAAGCATAGTTATTAATTAGTTAAATTGAGAGAAAAGAAATTTTCTTTTAAGAGAAGGGATATTTTTAGTTTAAAATGGGAAGATTTAAGAAGTGATGATGAATCCATCAAATGAAATCAAAGAAATTTTACCAAATTTAACATCATTAGCTTCCGCATCTGAATATCATCATTAGAAATGAACACCAATACAAATACCGCTCATTTGAAATATGGGAAGCAATTCGCGGGATTAAATTTTCATCTCAGGCTAGATAAAATTTGCTCCACGGCTACAATCATAGTTGCAGCACGCGATGTAATTTGTGTAAAATGCAAGGAAGAGATTGGGGGTGGGATGATGGCTTAGAGGAAGCTGGGATAGACAAGTTGAGATGTGGTAAATTTGGTTACTTCTCTGCTGTTACCTCTTCGCTGCTCAAGCTGTTAAAAGTTATCAATAATATTAGTAATATGAAGGTATTAGTGGTAATGAAGGTAATTTGATAATGCTGAATCGGGATCCTCCTTTTGAAATACCTGAGATGCGATTACATCCGATAATCCTACTAATGTAACCGTAAAAGTAATGGACTGAATATGGGATTGTAGAATTTCTTCATTTCTTGCATTTTATATTTCAGAAAATAATGATTCAATGATTGACTCTAAAGATGAGCGAAATGTTGATGACGCGTTCTTCAGATATGGGTGATGAAAATAATATTAATCCGATCACTTCTGTGATTATCGTTGCTGATAAAAATCGGTGCCCACGTGGATTCGCTCCGGTATGTGAGTTACATGCTTTTAAAATTTATCATTCTTAACTCATGCATCTTTACATTAAACTCAAGTATGAATCGTATGTTGATGTACGCTAAGCTCTTAATAACAACAATGATTGTTCTAAATGTTTCAAGTGCAATTTCTAAAACTTAATTTAAATCAGTGAACAAAAGATTCATGCTTTAGAATCATACACTAATGATTATTATTTATATCTTCATTTGATCTAGAAATGAATAGATTCAATTTTAGAACTAGAAAGTTTGAGAGGTTTCGGTTCATTGGACTTGATTTAGCTCCACTCGTTGAAATTAATTTAATGATTTTTTTCATAAAGTTACACCGAGCAGTACTTTAAAAAGTTTAGATATTCGTTACATAGTGACGTTTTACCTATATTTTTAATTGCAACCTTTTTATGTAACCTTATTGTAATCTTTTATGCATTTAGTTTGTTATTTTTGCTCAGTTTGGCTTCAGATTATAAAAACGTTCGACGAACAGAGTGATGCCGATTTGTGGAGGGAAAGTTCGTTCACTTTTTTTAATCGACCTGTACGATATTTGGCAATCAGTAGAGACACTCCTCATAATACAGTAAATTCTAAGTCTTTCTAATTCCAGCATAATGTGACGTAAGTTATGATGTAGTTAAAATTACTTATTATAGAAACTGTTACTCGACCTGATCTTTGTTTTTTGCCAGTAGTAATTCTTGAAAAAAAATGGTATTTGTATTTTTTTTCTAAAAGTCAATTTAGTTGTATGGAATTTTTTTAATTCGAAGTTTCATACTCGAATTATGAAATATTGGATACTTTTATCCGTTATTTTATAAATGAACCAAAGTTATTATGTTTTTTTCAGGTTGGTACACATGTCGTGACTGATTTATGTGTCGTAAAGGACTCTGATCCAATTCCCATGGGTTTTATCGCCATAGATTATACAGCTGACTCAAGTAAGTTAACACTATCAAGGTCATTACATTTAGCTCTGTTCAATATCTTTCAGAGATATAATAAATTCTTAAAACGGTTTTCAATTTGTTATTGTTATTATTAGGATATTGATTTTTTTATATTGAAGTAAGTGTTTGCTCTTATGTTGTTAAAAATGTTGCACCAAACAATACGTTTGCTTCTTCGCTTTTCATTCATAAAGCTTCCAGAGGAAAAAGCTTTACGCAAAAAATATCTTTGTGTGCGTACGGTAGCTCGAGATGCTGTTGTTGATGCGATTGGGGAAATCGTTTTATTAAGTAAGATGAGAAGACCACTCAAGAATTATTCATCTGCTGGGTTCGTATAATCTTTATTATTTCTCTGATTTTAAAAGTACTATGTTTGAAATTACTTAGGAAATTCTACTGATTAATAGGGTTCATTGATGGTATCTATTCATAGATAACGACGTATTTACTGTTTGAACTGAACTGCTGTTCAAAAAATTAATCGCTGGGTTTTGATTAAAACGCAATTTTACATCAAGTTTATTACTGATGTTCGAAAATTTTGAAGTGCCTGAGGCTTGCTTTTTTGGAACATGACTTTGTCAAATTTTTAGAAGGATTCCTTAACTTTGTTCAACTACATACCTCTACAAATAACTGTAGATTTTAGAGCAAAATTCCTCACTTTATCTAATTTATAATTTATTGGTCTCTTCAGTAGAAAATTCCATTTCGTTGATAATTTCTGTCGGTTTTTAATATGGCGAAGGCCCCTATTTTTCTATTTGGATTTTTCGATTTCAGTGAAGTGGATGGTATTTTAATATGCTTCAAGCATATTGTAATCCCATCGTCATTTGGCGTTACATTACCTCGTAGCAGATCGTAAGTTATTACGAATTTGATATTTTCTTTTGAACATTTATTAATAGTTTTAAATTTTAAAGTATGTGCTTTATTATAAATAAAAAGACTATGAATTTAGCTTCCATTCGTAACCATTTATCATTATATTTGTCATAATGGTGCTTTCTTTTCTTTCAATTTTTTTCCCCTCATACTCAATAACTTTTGTCGGTTCTAATTCAGAACAAGAAGTCTTTTCTTAAGTTTCAAGTAGAAAGACCATCTCGAAATTTGCTATTTGCAGCACAACCTCTGTATTGTATCCATCCATTGGAACTAGTGAGTTCCGACATTCCAATCCTACGCTGGACAAAGCAAAGACTGGCATTGCAGGAAATGCTTTGACTATAAAATCGAGTGTGAAACGAGGTGTAGAGGATGTTCCTTTCAAATTGAATCCTAAGGTGGAAAGCAGCTTAGCTAGAAATAAGGTAAGATATTTGTAGTGTAATGGTAAATATCCAAGTTTTTTTCCTAAAAAGAAATCTTTGCATATATTTTTGTATCGTTGTGGTTTTCCTTAAGATTTTTTCTTGGACTGCCTTTTCTGCGGTTTATAGGTTTCTCAGTAAAAATATGTGTTCATCCTGACTGAGATACAGCGACACACCGTAGTATTAATTTGTCTTATCTCCTGATATTTTTGAACTTTATTAATTTTTTCTTATTAACATTTATTAATTTTATTAGCTTTCATTTTCGGCCGAAAATAAGGTGTTTAGACGACATGTTGGAATTTACGCCTTAAATTAAATTCTTGGGTTTCAAAATCATACGTGAACATAACCTCTTGTTTTAGTTGGACACGTTACCGGAATTAAAGAAATGTGATTCTGAACAATTGGATCGTGATTACAGTTATTACTTTACTCTAGAACGGGCAATGCTTTCTAATTCCTGATTTTTAATGTATGGTTTCTATATGCTATTGTTTATTTCATTGGTGTAACATTTACATGTCTCATCTTGAAATTATGAAAGGAGAAATTAGTCGGCAAATGTCCAGTGTGACTGCAGTTTAATTTCCTGTATTTTTACTCCACATAACGAAATTCGAAGTCTTTTTGGCTTATTGTTTTTTATAACAGTTTCCTCCTTGAATTAGATTCTTGAATTTCGAAACTATTTGTGAGATTGGTGGTCTTTCCCAGGATTTTTGAAAGTTATTTTCCTGACCTATACTGCTTTAATGTCGTGCTTTATGAGTTATCTACTGGTTATTTATTTGGATTCCTGTTCGAGACGTTTTCATTCTAAGTAAATTTGAGCTTGATAGCTTATGGTTCATTTCAGGATATGATTGTATAACCTACTTTCTGAACATAAATGGATTTTATAAAATTTCGATACCCCTATTACTGTATTCGAGATTTCTATTTATTGTCATTTATGAAAACTTCACATCGATCTGCTTTTTAACGCTTCTAGAGCGTGAAGGTTTTCGGTATGTATTTTTGATCGGTATGTCAAATATAATTTATGAAAATGAAGATCTGAGTGCTGAATTTCCCGAAAATCGAAATAAGAATTAGGAGTGTTTTCTGACTCTAATGGTACTCTCAAATTTGAGACATGAAATATCGGATGACAATCGACATTACTTATTGGCTCCAATATATAAATATAATATTAACTTAACTTTAATCAAGTTAATTTTAGACAAATAGGTTTATTTTGATTCATTGTTTTGTTCATAAACATGAAACAGTAGAGTGATTTGCAAAGAATATCGAAGCTTTCCAGTATCATTATCAATGGAACACTGATGATGCATGTTGATATGATTTACTGATGTGCCCTATTTCATTAGGAGGAAATATATCTGCGACACATTCACCATCCACTTCATGTAAGTGTACATAAACGTTATAGTAGCTGACCAATGCATCCAGGGTGAAAAACCATGGTGCCATTGGATCACCGTATTCTACCCGAACAGCCTTGAATTGTCTCTGGATGTTTTACAATTAAAGTTGATAAGTAAAAGATACTGAACTTTTTCAAAAACTGGAAGAGGTAGGGAAATTCAAGTGTAATTGAATTGAGAAAATTCAAATACATAAATTCGGTCAAAATCTTAGCTTTCATAATCTTTGTTTATATTTTTGATCAATTTAAACTTTCTTTCGAAATCATTACCTAAACTGTTATATTTTTTCATTGATAAAGAAATATAATTTCAAAATTCTTCGCTGAGAGCAACTAACTTGGAGATTGGTAAGCCTTGAAAGTTTGGATCTTGTCTTTGAATCATCCACATTTTGCTTACGTTGTCTGATTGGATAGTGACTAAAAGAACTTTTCAATAATCTGAACTTAGTACAATTTAAAACTTTGGGCACTTATAAGCCAATTCACAATAAATTCCGCAATAAATTATTAATGTAAATTTGGAGGTATCCTTGATAAATCCATTGCTATAGATGATCACCGCTGCTCTAATTGCATAATACCTGCTTAATAAGAACCAATAACCTATATTAAAAAATTGATAAATGCACAATGAAGCTTGTTATAGAGCCATTGATTTGCTTAACATATAAATGTACTTTGATGCAAATTTTTATTAAAAATGGAACTCTTCTAAATTGGAATAGATAAAATATGTTTTTGGTTGCATTATCCTCCTAAAGATTTATGTCTGCTGTTGGTAATAGAGTAGGTGAATTTCAAAAATTTTTCAAAGGCAGCATTAATTTGCCAACATATGAAAGTAATATAAAGCGTACTATACATGACCTGTACCACTCCGATAAATAATATAAAGACCAAGTGCTGGTAACACATGGTTCAACGATTCAATTTTTGGCATCTGAAAGAAGTTAGAATGAATAAATCAGTGTGATTAATCATGCAGGCTTCGTTACCTCATGTTACGCGAATAAAGAAATTTGCAAGTCTTACCATATGGTAGAGTTTAAATGAAGCAGGCTTGACAACGTATTCTTCAGCTTTCTTTGCGGTCATTACTCCAATATAGGCTTCGACTGATGGTGATACGTCCATGGAACCATGTCTTCGGGCTGTCCACAATGCCTCTTCGGTAGGCGTCGGCGGCGGTGCCAAAGTGGTCCTGTGATATCGCTTGCAGATTTCACGATATAGAAATGTAGCAAATTCGTGATGTGAAACAAGATGAGAGATATTGGTTCAAAAATGACCAGTAATTGCAAGGCATTGCTTTCGTAAAAAGTTAGTATCATAAAGTCAGTGAATGCTAATGCTTCGTAAAAAGCTGGTAAGCGAAAAAAACTTACGGACGCATCATTTCATAACCGTCATATCTTTCGTTTGAGATGACCCGCTTCTTCTCTTCTTCTATGGATGATGCATCCTTGGTTCGAGACAAACATACACCTTCCACCCTGCGTCCGGTATGCTATAACGATATATGATAAAACGATATAAAAGTATTTGTTGTGTAGGAAAGATATCCTTTCCTGAAATTAGATTAACTTTTCCATGAAAACTAACAATTCGGTTTGAAAAAGGATAATAGCATGAAAAGCTATCAACGAGATCTCTAAAATTTCATCGTTTAAAGTTTAAAAATTAACATTACACCAAAAATATGAAAGTTTGAAAAACTCAAATTGAGAATTTGAAAGAACTGAAACGTTGAACAATTTGAAGATCTCGTTGAAAATTGAGAAAATTGAAAGAAACAAAATGAACAGCGATAATAGCATACTCTTTCTTTATTGCGAATGCGTTGTAATCCTTCCTCTTCAATTTCGGGATCAGAATTGGTGATAGAGGGCGAAAGGTGAGAAGCACGGAAATTCCACGTACGTGTTGGAACATCAAGTGCTGTAATTGGTGATATTTTTTGAAAAATAAATATGGCAAAAACGACAAATTTATTCAATCTTTTTTGTGGAAGTCCATGGGATCCTGTGCATTAGAAATGAATATAAATTGCAAAATTGTCTCATTTTTTTGTATTTTACTAAGAAATTTAATTTTTTCATTTTTGTGCTTCTTCACAAATTTAACCTACCTGACCAATTCTTAGATACATCCTTACTGTAACTTTGGTGCATTTAATTTCCATGATACTAATAATGATTACAAAATTAATCAAAAACATTTTAAATTTTGTCCAACAAAAAAATCGTCAAAGAAATAGTGGATACCTTCACGTTCAACCTTTTTGCGCAGATTGTACGAAACATTCTCATGAACATGTGGCTCAGACTTCTTGGAAATACTTTTATAACCAGAAGCTATCGAGCTATCGTGTAAACCTGATGAAGAGTGATAACTGGCTTCTTTCTCCTTTTCCTGAAAAAAAAACTCTTCCTTCACATCACAGGATTTACAGATAACTTTTATAGCAAAAATGTTAGTCTAAGCGAGAAAGCAATCTCTTAATGAAAATTGACTTAAATTTCATGAAGGAAAAGTGTAGAACATGAGCGAGCTACTTTGAAATCACAAGTTTAAATTTTGAATTAGAAGGAAAGGAAAGAAATATAGAAGGGAATATTCAAATATAATACAAGAGATCGTCGACCAATTATCACTGCGTGCACTCCTTTTAACAGATAACATTAATTTTAAATTTAACAAAAAACACCCGTGATAGCCTGGATGCAATGGCACATGGCCGTCCATGTACACAACATTCAGTTTGTCTTAACTCTTTCCGTGAATCACCGAGTTCTGATGTTGATTGCATTGGTGAGAGCTGCTGATCGTCCAAGCTGCTAATCATTAACTGCAAGTCAGAAAATGCTAAATTAGCAAATTGGCATCAATGATATCAATGGAGATTGAAAATACCACTAGAACATTTCCACTGATAAAATAAACGAACAGTTTGAGCTAAGTACATATTCCTATAGAAATTGATAAGGATAGATGATTGATAGGTCATGCGAAATTTTAATAATTTAGTATTGCTATAAGAAGATAAGAAATGATCCAGGAACAATTTAAACATCACGTTGAGAAGAAGAGTAAGAGAGATATTAGTTGCAATCCCTTTTTAAGAATGCTTAATTGTTTACAAATGACGAACAACCTGTGACAATTAAATGTGACCTGTGATGCTTTGGATAAAAAAAGCAATGAAACCATACTAATTCTTTCATCCTTTATAATTGTTTCATGTTAGTTCATTTAAAATTAAAAATTTTAAAGTGGTAGGCGATTTACATACCTTGCATTTTTGTGATGGCTTTGTGAGTTATAAGCTGTAACAATATATAGGATTAATTAGATAGATTATGATATTTTTCCCTCAATCTCATTAAATTGCTAATGAGCAATTTTATTGGAATAATACACTTTTTTTCAATAAATCTACTTCGCAGTCATGACAGCGTATATGTACACAAGACTAATCGAAGATACTTTTAGTATCTCTCATTTTGTAAAAATTCCAAAATTGATTGTAACTGAAACATTGTTTAGAATCAATTTATTGATATGCAAAACTTCAAAGTCAAATAGTTCGTTTATGAAGGCATTTGATTTAGTTACGATATCCTTACACACATAATATATGCACAACAGATAGGAAAATGAGTAAATAAATGAACTTTAAAATAACACTATGAATCTTACAAAAATTTTTAAAGCTTTTGTTGAAAGTAAAGAGATAAATATATTACAGGAAATAAGACTTATAAATAATTCTAAAAAACAAGCCTAGCATTCCATCACTTATAAACAACGAGTACATAAGAAAAGCTGGGATAAGCACTTTGGAACACCGGGAAGTAACAATCGAAGAGGCAATAAACCGCTTATGGTTGTTTTCCGGATTTTTAGATAAGAAAGATTTCGATATTGAGCTGACAAACAATTCTATACAAAACAAAACCGTAAGAGAGAGAATTTGAAATTCTTCATGACAAAGAAAAAAATTCGAAAAAAGAAACCCCCAACAATTGAAAAGATCTTTTCAAAGAGAAAATTGCAGTTTGAGAAGAATGAGAAGGAACTGAAAAAGGTCTCTCATCCATTTCCAGTCCATTTTTGATTATTGAGAGATTTATAATGAATGTACTCACTTCATCATTCTGTATAACAAACTAAGAAAGAAGCAGAAAAAAAGGAAAGAAAGATGCTTAATGATGCTTTGTGCAGTAAAATACACAACAAACAGCAAATGTTTGCAATAGCTGAATACGAAAATTTGAAATCACAGTGAGATTCTCTACGAGAGATGCAGATGATGAAGCAGAAAACACACAAAGTTTCTAATATAGTAACAACTAAATTAAAAATTTAACCGAATTAATCGGTATTGCATCAAAATCCCCTTGTGAATTATTTGCAATGAATCGTATTTGAGAATCCTTTCGAAGGAAATCACTTAACTTTAAAGAAAATTGTTGGTATTAAGGATTTCCTGATATTTAATGGTATTAATGCCTGCTTTTGTGAAAGATGTTTGAGGCAATATATAAAAATCTGAAATTTATATTCCTTCACAGAGAACACTACAGGAAAAATCAGAGGTGATAATCATTTTATATTCTCATCCGTTTCTTAAAATAGATACATTACGAATATAAAAATAAAAATCTGATCCAACATTACGGAGTTCACAAATACAAAGCTGCTTCAAGGTAAATGATGAACCTTCATTTGGATTCATTTCATCATCAAATGTTTCCGGTGACATTTGTTCGTATCTTTAATGTTACTTCTGCGCCTTCTTTATTAACTTGATTCAGTTCTGAATTCTCAATTACTGCTTCCGTTGGCAGCGGATCATCGCGCATTTGCGATGAAAAGAACAACAATGTGCAAATTAGAAACACCATGGCGATTGTCTGAAATATGTTTTCCTCTTAATCTCAACTTTAGGATTGGTTTCATTCCATTTAAATAGTTTCAAAGTTATTAAATATATATGCGAAAGTAATATTCAAAGCAATATCCGTTGTAAATTCAAAACATTGAAAATCCGTTATTTGTGCTATGGTATTCTAAAGTTTAAATAAAAATTGTCCCACAAAAAAAACTTGCCTGACCAATCACACTGAAAGCAAGGAAAAGATCGGCCAAAAGCTTATTCTGATACAGCATGCAGCTTCCTTGCTAAAAATTGTGCAGGTGAAGAATTAAACCTTCGTGAAATTAAAAAAAAAAAAAACTAAAATCCAAACAACTGCATACTTTGCCGGAACATACATCCAAATTGTAACGAATGCACGATACATCAAACATCCATCCAAAAAGAACTGGTGCAGGAATGGTACCGATAACTCTTACTAGAATCCACTGAATTCCAAGCGCGAATGAACGCTCAGCATAATCAACCGTTCTAAAGAAAAATTAATTTACTTCATAATTTTTACATGTTGTAGCATACGTAATAAAAAATTGGCGCAAAAATGCTATTTAAACCGTTTAATAAATTTGTCCACCAACTATTTGTTTCAAAGGAATTAGAAAAACAAAAGATTCGTAATACCTCCCATATTTTCTGGCTCAATCTTAAAAGTTTCAAAGCTAACAATACCTTAGTACTACTGAAATTAGTGGAACTCCGACAGCAAATGCGAAGAAACAGAATGGAGCGAAGAGGGCAAGAAATCCAAATAACCCTCTGCATTTCGATTCACACAATCCATTCTTAACAGTCCTGTATCCAAACCTAGTATTTTCAGGTACACATGAACAGTTGTAATACATCTGAAATGAACATCAAAATTATATTTTGAAGTATTACTTCAGACTTCATTTCTTTGAAGCAACGACTGCTATCCCATTTCGTAAAATTGTTTCGCTTTTCGTTTTTATGAGAACTTGTAAATCTATAGTTCTAGGATACTACTACATTTTAGAATATAAACAATATCCTAGAAAATAACCTTTCTGAGCGGCTCATAAATTTGTTGGCAGCCGGCAAAACATGGCGAATAGAAAGAGTTCTGCTTGTCATTGTAAAATTCAGCACATACTGGATGATACTCACTTGGAACACAGTCACAATGATGGTTACAGACGGATTTTAAAGAAGGTAATATTTCTGTGGCACTATTATTCTGATTCGAAGCGCTGAAAAATCAAGCAAATGAGCAGAAAAGAGTAAAAGCCGTAAAATGATGCTGGAGGTTGAAAGCTTGAAATCTGTAGTGGTAAATTAAATTTCTTCCTTCAAATTTTGGGATATATAATTTTAAGTGAAGCAAAATTTTTCATTTTTCCTCAAAAAGTCTGAATATGACCATTGAAACTGATCTAAAAAGTTCAAAACATCGAGTTTTAATTTGACACAAAAAGCATCAACTCACATATCCACTTCATAATGCTCTTCAATTCCAGCAAGTGGATCATGATCACAGTAAACAAGATACATTGGTGACAAGATGAGCGTACACATTAGCAATGCTATACAAAATTTCAAAGTTTTTACACAGCTTAAACGAAACCGCTGAACGACGAAACCACTGAACATTGTACCTATTCCAGCCATTGGAACCATTATGCAACCTGAAAAGTTTTAGTTTTGAAAGAGTTTAAAATTCAAACTAAAGAATAAACTTTAGTTTCAAATCTTTTCAATATAAATAAATAACTATACCAATTAACATATTTGCTTTGCTTGGTGCAACGCTAAACTGTCGTTCAAGATATTTTGACATGAATGTCGATGCACCCGTTATAATAAATCCTGCAAATTTTGCTCAGATAAATTCAAAAATCATTGAAGCATCACAAGAAATGTGTCATGAATTTTATCCTTTACAGCAGTATTAGGCATTCCACTTTTCATATTCATGTCCTTTCCTTTTTCGTAAAAAGTGTTAATTTTTTATCATGTTCTAAAAAATTCGGAAAATTCCATACTACTAATAAACCCTGAATGAATGAATATCTCTTATGGACCAACTCAACCATTATCAAGACATCCTATACAAAACATTTGAAATTTTCAAAACCGTAAATGAAGAAAAAAACAAAATGATGAGAAATCTCATGCCACGCCTGATTTCCACTTATAAATAAGGATAGAAATATACATTAAATGCGAAATGATGGATCGCGTCGTGTTGTTCTTTGCCATAGCTCTAATCTGGTTAACAGGACATATCCTTACAGATAAGTGCTTTTCAAACATTGAGTTTTATTCGTTTATACATAATTTTCCCTCATAGAAAAGATAACTTAATGTAAATGTTTCCAATAACTGTTAACTTTACTACAAAAAAAGCATCATGTCTACAAAAATTTTCAGATTCTTATATTTCAGAAAAAATTTTTGGCACTGAAAGAAGAGAACGGCAAAAAATGACTGGCAAAAAAACACAAAAAACAAATTATCAAGATGATATACCAGAATCAATGAACAAAATGCGACGCTTTCAATGGAGCACTTATCCCGTTATCCTTGAAAAGAAGGGCACAAGAAACAAGCAGGAAACCTTATTTAAACACGACGACCAAAATAATAGCCAATATGGATTACGCAGCATGTACAAGTATGGAGGGCAAGGAATATTTGGACAAATAACGATAACTGAATAATCACGTAATTTGATTTCATATTACCTTAAAAAATTATCGAAATTTGATGAAACTTTTCGAATTTTAATTTTGTTTAATGAAAATTATAGAAATTTAATGAAAACATACCATCAACAGCCATGGCAAAAGTAATAAGCATATAGCTGCCATTTGATATTATTCTATAGATGGCTATCGGTATATGTCGTACGTCAAGCCATATGTGATACCAAATTGGACCACGATTAT